GTGCAGGTTCACTAGTGGAGTCGATTTACCCTGTCCGTCTGTCCACATAAACGCAGTGATCTCGAAACTATAAAAGCTAGATTGTTTGGTTTAAGCATGAAGATTCTAGAAATTCTTGAGTAGCGCAAGATGTTTCAGCACGGTGCCACGCCCACTCTAACGCCCGCAAACCGCTCATAACTTTGGCTCCTACCGTTTTAATGTTAGAACAACTGAAATGTATTGTTTTCGACAATACCTAACAATTGACTCTCTAAAGCCCACAAACTTAAAAAAAAATCGCACGTATACCGCTGAAACTTAGGAAACTATATAACATGAAACTCCATTTGTTGGTCAATACTGAAATTCAAATTTCAGCCGCAATTCTGTTGTGGACCAGGTATGACAAATAAAATTAAACTTATTTTACCATGGTTTTTGTTCAAATACGGCTTGTTTGGTTCGTATAGACGATAACTTTATGTAATCTAAATTGTCAGGGCGAAAAATCTTTAAATGGAAATTGCGCTCTCAGCATGACAGTTTGATTTTTGGACAGATTAAGTTATTAGTTCGTGCTGAACAATTTTTTTTATAAACATAGCATTTTATGTGGTCACATCTTCTGCGAGTAAAGACTTGTCCTTATAATTTGGAGCCATCTGTATAGAAGCAGGTTGCGTCCGTCGTGCCCGGTCGGCCCTGCTCCCATTCCTCTCTGTCTGGGATCAGGGTCTCAAAGGGTGTGTGACTGTGCTCATGGGATTTGCATAGATCCGTTTACTTTGGAATCGATTATCATGTTGAACAATTTTGGCATGGCCACTCACTCGAATTGCTGCCGGCTTGGCCCTTTCCATGCCTGCAAAGTCCAGGCTATGGAGGTTCAAGATCGCGTTCAGCTTCATTCGGGGTGGTTCGAAGGGCTCCACTAATATATGCATTATTTGTGTAGAGCGGTCCACCACAGAGCCAATCCATATAGTAGCATTGGTTTGACTACCGCTGTGTATATCCAGTTGACAATTCTAGGGGACATGCCCCATCTTAGCCCATTTGATTTTTTCAGGAGTAAAGTGCAATGGTCGCTTTCCTTCTTTCAGGAGAGATTACAATTGTTTAGAATAGGTGGGTTGAGTTGTGGGATTTTGTATCTATTTGTGAATAGAACATGTTCCGTTTTTGAGGGATTTACCCCAAGTCCGTTTTCTATCGTCCATTCCGATAGTGTTTTTGTTTTAGCGGTCATAAGTGTTTGTGCATATTTTCCATTAAATATGATAGCGACATCGTCTGCGTATGCCACTACCTTTCCCTCTAGAATCCGCAGAAGTTTATTTACTGCGATTCTCCACAGGAGGGGTGATAGTACACCTCCTTGCGGGGTGCCTCTGTTCTCTAGTCTACCCCACTGGGTGTGATGGACGTTGGCGTCACAGCCTATTACCAAACCTTTCCTGAGATTTTCGCATTCCTCTGCCAGTCCTCTGACCAGCGCATCTGGGGGGTTTTCCTTCTCAAAGGCCAAATAGGCCGATAGAACCATTATAGAGCCACTCTGCAGCTCCAGGCTTACTGCGGTGTTGTCTCCTTTGTTCCTTTGTATTCCTTTGTTCCTAGTCCAGCAACCTTGCCTCCTACTACCCAAGGTTCCTGTACGAGGACTAGGTCGGCTCCGCCTTCTGTCAGGCGAAGCAAAAGTGCAGCAGACGCTGCATTACTGTGGTGAAGGTTTATTTGTAGAAGTCTTAATGACATCTACGGCTTCAACCTCCACCACAGTGACGTCGGCCTCCTCTGTGTCGCTGAGGTCTACGTCCTCGATTGCCGGTCCGAGCGCTCGCATCTCTCTGCTTAGCGACGAATCGGTAGAGTAGCCGTCCTCCGGCCCACCAGGTGCCTCCAACTCCTCAGCAAGCACCTGCTCGGCTGGGTTGCCGGCAGAGCTGCCAGCGGCGTTGGAGTCGCCCTTGTACACCTTGATGTGGATCGCACTGAACCCGAAGTTCAGCACTCCTCGAGCAGTCTCGATCGGAGCAACTGACTCCTTGTTTAGGACCAACACCGCCTGGTTGACGTCCCCTTCATGCTCCACCACCTTGACGACTTTCCAGTCCTTGGTGGGGAGGTGCGGGTTGCATTCTTGCAACATGAAGAGGATGTCCTCCGGTGTCTTGATCGCTGCTGGAAGCCAGATCCTGGCTCGGGGTCTACTGGGGACATCGCACCAGTCAAGCGCAACGATGTTCGCCCCTTCGTAAACCTCGTTGAGCTTGTTTGTCGCCTCTTTCTACATATCAGCCGACCGCTGACTGTCGCATGCCACCACCTTGACGCTGCCCTGGTACTAGCCCGCGTCCATGCAGCAGGGCGAGGTGCCTGGCTTCTCCCGTACCATGCGCAGGCAAATGAGGGAAAGGTGGGACCTGCCCTCCAGATTTCCCTTGTCAATGAGGCCGAGTAGGACACGGTTCGTCGTGATTTCGGCGAACGAGACCGATGGCAGGATCTTAGATCTCTTCGCCGGTGGTCCGGGTAGTTCGAGGGATCGCTGCCTTTTTGCCTGAGTCCCTTCTTGAGTGGGCCTATCCTGCCTGTAGTTAGGAAGCACCGTCCTTGCCCACTCTACCTTATTTAGCCATTCAGGCGAGGGTGTGGCAATATTTCTTCTGGTATGAGAGCGCAGAGTCTGAGCGGCAGTCAGACTTTCTGCGTATGTGTATTTAATGGCGCCAGCGGGTGGCCCGAGCGCCTTGGCAGTACCTACCGCTGCTTTAGTCGCAAAGGCGTCCATGGCGGAGGCGTTCGCGGCCGGAATTTTGCCACCCGTCATCCCCAGTTTGGGATAGGTCCCACGAGTTGCTGAGAAGGGGAAAGGTCCGCCCGGGCAGAGATTCGCGATGCCCGGGTAAGGAGATAGTTAGAACAGGGGGTCGCCATGTCCCTAAGCACACCGTTTAAGACTGGGCTAGTTTTTGATCCGTGCCAACCAGGCTGACTATTGGCACGGTCCGTATTACACCGTAGTTCGGCCCGGAGTGAGATGTTGTTTTGGGATGAGAGATGGGTAGGTGTTTAGGTGGTATTTAGAAGCGGCTGAACAATTCGCATCGTCGGTATGCTTCGTTGCAGGATACCCGCTGGCTGTCCGGAACTGTTTATTTACTGGGGTTTCCATCCACAATTCCGTGTTTGACTTCCCCCACCAGCTTATTCACAGTTGGCCTCGAGAGAGGTCGTCCACTATTCGCAACCTGCGACCAGCTCGGTTGCCCCAGCTAGGCGACTTTGGAACCATCTCACAAGTTCCTCAGCCGAGTATAATATGGTTTAGAATGTACAGAAGGAAAGGTTTGACAAACCTGGGAGACAAATTATCTAGGCCAGTTGCATTTGATTTGGTGACAGACACATACAACGTTATTATCACAGTTTAGTTCAGTAGTTAGGTGCGGATTGAATGTGGAATCACGTACATTGGTTGGTAAAAATTCTCCAATTAATTGATGCACGTCTATATCAATGTGTAAGTTTGGTTAAGATTTGTTTTTAAGAATACTTAACTTTTTTAGTTCCTTTCATGTTTGTTCAGTCCATATTGCACATAAAAAAATGTTTTAGCGGTCAGTCTTAGCCTTAAATATTGCACTCGTAACCTAACGTCTTAACTTTTTATGTATATCTTGAAAATCGTTTGTTAAGTAACTTTTCCACCACTTATACGCTTCATCTCTTTGGTTAATAATTCTTTTAATATGTTAATATATGTGTTGTACCAGGTTTTAACGGATAATGTGCATATCTTTGATTTAGGTATAATGATTTCAGTATGAAGTTTACAACGCAGTGAAGGAGAAGTTTTCGACCGCATAAGGTCGGTGTTTTTTGACTTATTAACTTCTACTCCTAGGAATATCATTCCTTTTATATTTCAGAGAATATTTAATTTTTTAAAATCGAAAATTTTTTTAAAAAGATTTCACTTCTCAGGTTTTTTACTTGTATTGTATTTGCTTATTTAGGAAAAATTTTGGATATAAAATCTATAAGGGGCTCATAGTTAACATAACGATTTGGTCTGTAGACACACCCTAATACCGTACTACCCGTTACTCGTAAAGTAAAAGGGTATACTGGACTCGTCGGAAAGTATGTAACAGGAAGCGTTTCCGACCCCATAAAATATATATATTCTTAATCGGGATCACTAGCCGAGTCGATCTATCCATGTCCGTCTCTCCGTATGAACGCTGTGGCGGCAGTATGATTTAAATATTAAGATTAATTTTAAACGATACTCGTAGAGTAAATGGGTATACTAGATTCGTCGGAAAGTATGTAACAACATAAAGTATATATATTCTTGATCAGGATCACTAGCCGATTCGGTCTAGCCATGTCCGTCTGTCTGTCCGTCCGGATGAACGCTGAGATCTCGGAAACCGCCCAAAACTATTTAGCTGAAATGTATTGTTCATATCAATACCTATCGATTGACCCAAAAATAGTTTGCCACGCCCATTTTAACACCCACAAACCGGCCACAAACTTCAAAAAATCGTAAATATGAATGAATTGGGATCTCAGATTTAGATTAAGTCTGTGGCGCTCACAATTTTCATGCTAGATACAAAATTTTAACTGAAATGTATTAGTCTCGTTAATACCTATCGAAAAAAATACTAAAATAACAAAATAAAAAAATGAAGTAGAAAACCAAAACAAAAAACAAACATAATATTGTGTGCATGGGGTAGCACGCCAGCCTATGCAACTACTTTTGTCTTTCGTTTCTGAGGAAAAACGTCTTCACATCGTCAAAGTGGGCCTGCCAGAAACACGCTCTCAAAAATTTGTTTACATGTCTACGTGAGCGTATATATAGCACGCTTTTAAACCACCAATATCATCTGTCGGATGATTAAAAACTCAAAAAATAAAATATTAATGCTTACAAATTAATAGTGAATCTTTGTTTTTAAATAGATAATATTAACGGTCCATGCTTTTATTTACAGGTATCAACAGTAAAAGGAAAATACCCACAACATTTTGTAAAGCTTTGGAAACGATATGACGATGAAAAAGGATCAGAGAATGACCATCCTGGACTTTTTGGAGAAAATCAACTTTTCGTAGTTTTAGAACTACATTTTGCAGGAAGTGACATGTCAAATGTTATATTTTTAAACTCGGAACAGTCATTTTACGCATTGCAACAGGTGACTCTAAGATGTTATTATTTTTAAAACTGTTTGTACTGAATTGGATCGTTTGTAGATTATTCTGACTTTGGCTGTTGGTGAGGAAGATTATCAGTTCGAACATAGGGATCTCCATTGGGGAAACATATTGATTAAATCTACCACTAAAAAACACATTTGTTTCAAATTTAATAACACTGACTTGATTGTGGATTCGAAAGGAGTGAACATAACTATTATTGACTATACTCTTTCAAGAATAACCATTGATGAATGCTGCTACTTTAATGACCTCTCAAATGATGAGGAACTTTTTCAGGCATCAGGAGATTATCAATTTGATATTTACCGAATGATGCGTAATGAATTAAAGTAAGTATTTTCCAAAATAACCAACCATGTTCGCACTCACTTTTATATAAATTTGTTCGACAAAGATAGAGATAATTCTATCTGCCTTGCATTTTCGCTCTTCTATTCTGCTTTGCAATGGACGCAACTGGTGAACATAAGATTCAAAGATCTGTAAATGACAACCCAAATCCTCGTGGCTGAGCTTGCTTAAATCGGGTTTCCTGGCCACTTTGACCTTTAATTTTTCGATTTTGGTTTCCATTTTTGAGCGCTGCGGTTGAAAGGAAGTCAATTGTGCTTCAAGTCGCTCTGCTGCTGAAACCTTGTTCATGTTTAACTGTTGGGGCTAATTGCGGTAGAGCAAAGAGAGAAACTACGGTTCAAAGAATATACGAAAAGCTAACAGTGAACTGTACTGAGTGTGCAGCCCGGCCTTATGTTTATTAGCGAATAGCAAACACAAATTCAGCACGTGTTGGTATGCATAAAGCAACGGTGGTTGGCCAATGTCGGATTGGTCCCAAGATTTTATAAAATGAACGTATAACTCTAAGCAGCCACGCGAACTTTACCATTTGTCTGGGCCAAACACAGCCTTGATTTTTTGTTGTTATATGTTATTATGTTATATTTGTGTGGTTTTTTAGACGTTATAATGTTTATTTGCTAACTCTCTAGAGCAAGAAAAGAATAATGATAGTTGTCAAAAACGCGATAGTGATTTTGTCGTTTACTGAAATACTAACTAAAGTACTAACTTCATGTGTGGCTGCAACACTTGTGGCACCATTAACTTCAAAGAATTTGTTTTAAATCGCATAGGATTTTATTTAGTTTGTCAATACCTATACTAATTCGGACGTAAGGTTGCCTTCCTATCCTTGTAAATTACTTTTGCTTAATTTGCCTAGTCTTGTAAACCGTAGAACATAGCTTGGTGCTATTTTAACGTCTTTCATTTCTTTATTAAGTTGATATACATATTACTTATTACGTTTTTGTAAATTTGTGGCTATGTTATTACGTGGGCATATTAGTGCCCGAGTCCTGACAGGGACTTGGGCCGAGGGAGAGGCGTCCGATATTCTGGCACCATTTGCCGGCATAAGCTACGTCGTATTCGGGTCGTGGGATCTTGGTAAGCCTCTCTCCTCTCCAACATAACGAGAATAAATATTAAAAGTGCCTGGAAAATAATATTTGTCATCAAGTTCGTCAGTCATCAGTCCACACTGCCCAACAAGCTTAGCTGTCGCTTGATCGCAATACGATCGGGCTGTGTTTTGGCCGTATTCCCTCCCCTTCACACATTCGTGTGCCAATGGATCGTCGCGGGCCGCGCAAATCGATCCCCTACTGTCAAGGTTGTCTGTCGAAAGTTATGCCATTGTTCTTGACCTACTCCACTCCTCGCGTCAGCACACACCCTTTGTTAAAGTTCTAGCACACCATGGTTTCCAATTCTTTTTCACATTATAAATTTATTAGATATTATATATCTGCGTCTGTTGATTAATCTAATTTAATTGACAATTATTCTGTTAGAGGAGAGTATCGAACTTATCACCTATGAAGGTGCACACATCAGCCAAATACTGACTATTCACGACTACAAACGTCGCTCAGAGGGCACTTGCAATTATCATATAACTACAAGGCTGATACTCGCCGCTGAAAAAGTTTATAGTAGTCTATAAAACTGTAGGATACTTCACAAATATTTATATATGTATGTTTATAAGAAAGGAACCGTGTCCCAACAAACTTACCCCCTCCTTAAATCCTGGGCGATGAGATCTCTACGCTCCGGATCCTGGGCTTTGGGAAAATATTATATTGGATATATATATATAAATATACGTGCATCAAAATACGGCTGTTCTTAAGTATACCAATTCACTTAAACACAAAATATATATAAGTTAACAACAGAGGGCTGGCAGCCCACCTAATAAATAGAAGAGGGCTGACCGGCCGGCTTCACCTTCCCCCCGCCGCGATGCCGACTCAGCGCGGCAACATGCGCCGGCCGGGCGCTGACCTACCTGCCCCCCGCACCCCGTGCCGAGTCAGCACAAAGACATCCGCTGGCCTGGCTCGGGAACGCTGACCGCTCACCGTGCAAGTGGAGCGCGGTGAGAACTGCAGGGTCGGCAAAACTTCAGCCGGCCGCTGACGCCGACGTCGAGCCGGGACGGGACTCACCGGGCTCTGGCAGGTGTCGGCGCAGAAGACTGGGGCAGAGTCAATTGGACCGGGGAATCAACACGACTTGTCAGCTTAAGTTTATTGAATAAAGAAGAATTATAACGTTTACAAAAGGCCAACGCTATTGATTTTGGAGGAACTATAACGTATGCAAGGGCCAACGCTATCGATTGGGAAGAACGAGCTACGCTTGGGACTGCACAAATACACCGGAATGTCTACATATAAAGTCCTTCCCGGGGACATACGAAGCCCCTCGGGAAGGACCTAACTGGCGCCCGAACAGGGACCTCTCCATTAAGCGATGAGGATCCCTAGGACAAAAAGTGGGAGGTGAAAACTGTGTGTGTCGTGTGGAAAAAATTTTCTTTTGGAAAAAAAATTTTAAAAAATGAAATAAATGTGGAAAAAAGTATATGACAAGAAAATGCGTTCCCAGTGGTGGTTTGTGTGTTGCAAATATAAAGAAATAGAAATTTTGATAACCGCTGCGGGCCACCCTCTATAATAAAAAATATATAAAGTGGAAAGTGGTGTGGGTAATTCACTAGATACGCTCAGTGTTACCAGCACAGAAAGAGCCGCCTATTGGATTGTGTGGCAACCGTACCTTAGTAGGTGGTAAAACCAAAAAGGAACAATACGGCACACCGTGCCTAGCACCGAATAAAGAAGGGAATCGGAACAACAAAAAATATACACAACAAATATGTGGAAAAAATCTGTACAACAAATATGTAAAAAAAAATATACAACAAATATGTAAAAAATATATACCACAAAAATAAGAAATTTATACAATATATACAACCACGAAACAAGTATAAAAAACTCGAACACACGCAAAAATTCACTTCCCGCTTTAAAAAAAATTGTACCTATACTAAAATATTTTTTTTTTATAGAATCTGCACTTTGTAAGTGACCGACTCAACACACGAAGAACATAACTGGAACACAAAATATAATTACACGAATCACGGGTAAGTGAGGCTTTTTCAGCGAATTTATTAAAAAAAAATATATACAATCAAAATCTTAACCGTCACCCTGTTGTCACTTAAAAACCCCAAAACTTTGAATCGATTTTTTTAATATGGAGGAAATGAAGGCACCTCTTACCAAATTTGAGGCAACCTTGGCCTTGTTGCTTGGCCAGATGGTCGATGTTAAAGAGGATGTGAAAAAGGTTATTGACAAGGTAGCGAGCCTAGAGGAGGCTCGAGAAAAGGTTAACGAAGTTGCTCCTCAATCAAAGCCCTTAACCCCCGCTCGTACGGAGTACGAGTTAAAAGAGATAGCTAGATTGCCAGATTGTGTAAAAGAATTGCAGGTGTTTGAGGGCGAAGCTGGTGGCTACGACCCTTGGATGGGTAGACCCTTTTGTCGTACAACGTGGCAGAAGACGACTGTCCCGAGACGAAACGCGTCCTGATGCTCCACTACGCCGATAAGCGAGATCTGCGCACGCTGGAATACCAGATGGGGCAAATGACTCAGGGGACGAAGACCATAGACGCGTTTTACTCAGGAATAAATGCTCATTTTGCCCTGATAATACGCTGTCTTAAAAATGGTAACCAAAACCCGGAGATTCTTTGCGCGCTCGTCGAAACCTATAGGGACATAGCCTTGGATGTTTTTATCAGAGGTCTGAGCTTGACCTCTCGAAGCTATTAGTTATTCGCGGCCCAAAGAATTTTCCAGAGGCCTACGCAATCTGCTTAGAATTACAGAATCTGACCTCAATGAATCATGTCACATACCCTAGCAAGTTTTCATCCCCTGAGCCTTACCGCCAAAAGTACTCTTGGCCCCAACCTATCTACTCGTCTTATAATAAACAATACCAGTACCAGGACGCAGGCAGGAATTCTCAGCCCCCGCACAGATATTCAAATCCCCGAGCAATCAAAATGGAGCCCCACCAGTCCGGCCACTCCTATCGCTCGAACCAGGGTAACGATAACCCGAGCATTAAGCGCAGCCCCAGCACCTCATCTAACCTTAACCCTTTCCGGAAATCCCAAAGATTGTATCAGCTAAATGCTGTCCCATCCTCGGGTGAGGCCGCTTTTAGCCAGCACGAAGGAAAATCCGTCGTGAGGCTTACTACGGCGAAGCCTTACCAGACAATCAGGCTGGCCACCAACCTCACACGGAGGCTGGTAGTAGCGGGGCGGTAAATTTTATGGCCGAAGCCTCTCTAGCGTTCCATACATAGAGTATGGCGTAAATGATGGGGCTAAGCTGCAGTTTCTGATAGACACTGGCGCGAATAAGAACTTCATTAGCCCCCAGATAGCCGAGGGATGCAAGCCCTTGTCGAAACCCTTCCCGGATCAATCCGCTGGAGGGGAGATTAAAATAACGCATCAACTGACCGGACCATTCTTCAGACCCATAGGTAATAACTCGCCGTTCACCTTCTTTGTTCTCCCAGGTTTAACTGCCTTCCATGGCATTATTGGGGACGACACCTTAAAGTCCCTTAAAGCAGTTATTGATAGGAAAAATGATTCTTTAACAATAACACCAGGAGTAAAAATTGCGCTACTTGCCATGCCTTCCTTAGGTGTCCATTCCCTAATCGACAGTGAAACCCAGTAGAAGTGAAGGAATGCCTCGGATCCCTGATTTCCGAATTCTCTACGATTTTTGATCCACTCTCGCCAGGCGAGGCCGTGAACACAAGTGTTCGGGCTGAAATACGAACAAGTACCCAGGAACCTATATTCAAAAAGCTACCCTTACCCCGCGAACATGAGGGGGGAAGTGGAAAACCAGGTCGACGAGCTCCTGCGCGAGGG